CCTCCCCACGCAGCGGTGAGCAGCTGGAGACCAGGAGAACTGGCAGGACCTGTGTCCTTGCGCCAGAGGCGCACGCGAAGCTGCCAGCGGTAATAACAGGGCGAAGGAGCGGACCCGCCTGGACTGAGGAGGACCAGGGCAGGCAGCGCCTACGGCCCCAAGCAGCCCCCGCCTTTAGGCCTTGCCAGAAGCAGGGGGGGGGGCCGAGGCAGACACGGCAGACCTGACGAGCCCTTGCTCCCGACCCCCAGCGAGAAGGCTCCCCTCTAACACTGGGCCCTACATGGCCCCTCCACCCTGCTTCCATGGTTCTGAGGGGTTCGGGAATCTCCGGGGGTCCGTCATCCACCTGCAGGCAGCAGCTGGTGTGGGGGGAGGCGGCGGCGAGGTCCCAGCGGCCAGGGAGGAGGGGTGGGGGCCGCCCTGCCCGGCTGAGCGTCCGGGCGGGCGGGGATAGGCCTTCCCTGAGCGGGAGGTGCTCCTGGTGAGCACGGGCGAGGGGCCCTCCAGAGTCTGCTTTGCTCGGGGGTCTAGAACTGCAGCTGAGAAGCACAGGCCGGAGAGAAACTGCCGCCGGGAAAGACGTCTAGGAAGAAGCAAGGCACGGACCTGAATTCAGAGTGGGCTGTTCAAGATGTCAGGGTTTGTTCAGTCTCACTGCACTGAGCCTCTCATGCCTCACGGACAAGGGGAGAGACCCTGAGACGCAAGAACCGTGGAGCTGTGCGGGGAAGGGCTCCAGGCCGTAACTTATTTTTTGATTTAAACTTGAGAAGTTAAATAAATGAAATGACACGAATCATATGAGAAGTCCGACTTCACTCACAGAGAAATGGAAATGAAGCGGACAGAGAAGCCCGTCGAAATTAATATTCAACAGGAATGATTTAAATGTTTCACTCCAGAGTACCACCAAATTACGAAATATCACATATCCATGAAAAATGATGTGGGGGGGCCCTCCCTGGTGGCCAGCGGGTGAGGACACAGCACTGCAGGCCGCAGCCGCTTCAGTGCCAGTTCGATCCCCGCCCCGGGGTGACCCCCAGGGCGCGGCAGGCCTCTCCTGACCGCCCGCCGCTCCCCTCAGCAGTGCGCTTCGTGGGTCTGCCTGTTCTGCTCCCCGCTCTGTCTCTGGTGCCCCTGCACCTGATGTTGGAAAATATTTCAAACAGGAAAATGCTCACAGCACATGCGGTTAAGAAGCAGGTGCCCAAAGGGCTGCGGAGGGAGGGGCACAGCAGCGTGATTACAGGCCGCCCTGCGCTGCCCCCCCGGGTGCTGCTCCGAGGGAGCATCCATTTCCTTCTGTGCGTCTGTCTGCGTTCCCCACTTTTTCTGCAATGATCCGCTGGTGTTCTTGTGAGGAGAAGAAAACCTGGCGACCTGGAGAAGCCGCTCGAGTTCTGCAGACTCTGCGTCCTGGGGCCCTCTGCCATCTGACCAGCCCGGGGCGGCGGGGGTGGGGGTGACGTTAGAACGGGCAGGAGCAAGACCAAGGTCTGGGGTCCCCCGGGCTGTAGAGATGGGGTCAGGAAAGAGACCGGGGATCCCCAACTCTGATGTTACTCTGAAATGTCCAGGGGGCCCACGACCCTGGAAACCACGGAGCCTTTGGGGCCGGAGGGCCCAGGTGGGTCCCAGGACCCCGAGAGGCAGACACTTCGTCTTGCTGAAACCTGGTGAAGCGCAGTAACAGTAGCATCGGATTACTGCCGGGATTAAATAAGGCGATGATGTGCTTGGCAAGGTAGAAAGTCAGAGTTAATAACAGTCCGTCTGGTTTAACCTCAGCAGAGGGGACCAGCTGCCACCGTCAGGCCACGCTGTGTGTCCAGAGGCCTGGGGCGACCGGCTCGCCCAGCCCCGCGTTTCAGACCACCTCTGGGTCTCCCGGCCCAGGGTGTGCGGCGGCAGGAGTTGGGACCTCACGACCGAGGCGTGGGGGAAGAGCTGGCGGCAGAGGCGGCGTGACCCTGCCCTCCCCCAGACTTGTTTACCGGTGTCTGGCAAATGCTCGGGGGCTGACGTGGGCGACGAGGATGCCAGGGCCTGTCATCTAAGGAGACTGGGAGAGGCCGTGGCGGTTCCGGCTTGATGAGTCCCGCCCTGCACGGGACGGGAAGTCACGGCTTCTGGGCGGGGCGGAGGCGGCTCTGAATCACGGCGCTCTGGTCCCCGCAGCTCAGCTGCTTCTCGGAGCCCCTCCCCATCCACACGCCGGCTCCCACACGCCGCTCTTCACCCGCCAGGTGACGGGGGTCTCGCCACCGCAGGTGACAGGCACTCCCCGGGCAGGCCGGGCCGGGGACTCGCTTTCGGCGCCCCCAGGCCGAGCCCGCCCCCCCGCAGGCCTGCTCCCCATCAGGCTGGCCTTCACTGCGCGTCCTCCCCTGGGCCTCAGTTTCTCACTCCTTCGCCCGAGCCTGCCTCTCTCCGGTCCTGGACGGGCCGCACCGCCCTGTCCTGCATGCAGGCCACCTGTCAGCAGGAGCCGCTGACGCCAGGGCGGCCAGGGCGGCCCGAGGCCTGCTGGGGGCCCAGGGGTGCTGAGGCCTGGCTCCCCCCCCGCCCGCTTGGCCAGCCCGCTTCCTGACTGACCCGGCAGCCCCTCGCTGTCTCTTCACGACGGAGCTTTCCCCCCAGCGCCCTGCCAAACGCACTCCCCGCGGCCCCCCCTGCGCAGCCCTCTGACTTAGGGCGCCCAGCTGGTGCTGACATGCCCTGGGCCGAGAGCGCCCGGCAGGTGTGGTTTCGCCAGGTGCGGGGAGAGGCACAGGCGCCCCCTAGCCAGAGGGGGCGAGGCAACCCCATGTACGCTCTTCCAGGCGCTCCTGTGGATCCCCGCTACCCAGTGCCAGGGCGGGAGTTTTCCTGCCTCCTTCATTCCTTAGAACCTCACCCCACTATGTTTTTCCTGATCTGAATCTCATGTTGAAATCTCCTGCCCATGGGGTTTCCCGCTGCCGCCTGCTGTTTATAGCACACCCAGACCAGGAACAGAGACCGCGGGTCTGACACTGCACCCCAAAGGCGCTGCTGTGCCCGAGACCGTGGCTGGACTGGGAGCGCTGGACAGGCAGGTCCGTCCCGCGAGAAGCAAGCGGCAGGCTCCAAGCTGACAGCGAGGCTGGGCGGCGGGGACCTCCTGGCCTGCTCCTGCCGGGGGTGGGGGGCGGCGCAGGGAGGCACAGGCCTGGCCTGCTCGGGCGCTTCTGTCCAGGGGCCCCCAGCCTGCCCCGCGCCCAGCGCCCAGTCCCTCTCCGGGGCCACGCCACTGACCACAGCCCGTCCAGGGCGTGACGGCGTCGGCTCCTGAGCACAGGCCCCGGCCCAGGAGTCTCCGCCAGAAGCGACGCAGAAGCGGGTTCAGTCTTCTGTGAACAAGAGGACGGGCTGTTCCCTGCCTGCACTGGTGACCCCCACCCCCCGCCGCCCCGTCCCCGGCCTTGGCAACCTGAGCGCTCCCTGTCTGTCACCCAGGAAGCTGCTTGGCGTCCTGGGCGCCGCTCACTCTTCAGGAGGAGCCAAAGGACAGTTTCGGGCGTCTCGTCGTGCTCCAGCCAACACGATTTGCTTTGCCCAAATCCGTGCAAAGTGCCAGTCCCGCCTCAAATTCCCGGAAAAGCAATCCCCTGTCCAAATGAGTGAGGCTGAGTCTAGGTGTCGAGGGGTCCCCTCGCCGGGGGGGGGGGCTGCTAACCAGCACGAAGCCCTGTCTTTCTGCCCCTAAAAGCAGAGGGGGGAAAGGGCCCGATGGCACCAGAGGCTCCTGCCCTTGGCACCTGGTGTCACTCTTGCTTCACCTTGGCTTGGCCCGAAGGCCTCAGGGGCTGGGACCGTCGCTCCCAGAGCAGAATTCTGCCTGCTCTCTGCTGCACCCCACAAACACCCCCTCCACCCCCGCCGGAGGAAGGACAACAGGAGACCATCTGGGAAGAAGGTTCTGGAGGATTCACCTTCCCTGGGCAAGACCTGGGTAGAGACTTGTCTGCTGGCATCACTGGCAACTGGCTTTGCCAACATTTTCTTAAAACTCAAACTGCTCAGGGGACAGTCTAATAGCACAACGCCAGTGCGAGCCAGGCGCACTTGAGAGCCAGCGGGCACAGCCGTGCCGCTTCCCGCCGCCTCCCCCCACGCTGGCCACCAGGCCTCTGTCGGCGCCCAGTGCAGGCGCTGGCAAAGCTCTCCTCTTGGAACATCACTGGGTAACCAGATGGACGCTCACTCCCGCCGGTCAGCCCTCGGCCAGCGGTGAACCCTCAGGCCCCACGGACGCCGCGCCGCCCTCAGCTGCCCTCAGTCCCTGTCCTCACCCAGCTCAGGCCACGGCTCCTCTCACCAGAGACTGGCGAGCTCACCCCAGAGGCCCCCTGAGGGTCTCCTGTGGGGGTCCCGTGGCCCTCCTCCAGGCATGGGGACCCCATCCTCTCCTGGAAGAAACGCAATGCCACTGACACCCTCAAGGGCCGGTGTCCGGGGCGAAGGGCCGGCGCGAGGGCACCTGGCCGCAGAGGCCCGCCGAGGCCCACGTGCCGCCACCCCTCTGCGGCGGCAGGTCACGGGCCCCCCTGAGAGGCAGGAAACGCCCAGGGAGCACGGCCCAGCAAGGGCTCTGGGGAAGGTGGGGCCCCTGTGACGTCCCCCAGGAACTGCCCTGCGCTGGCAAGGGGGGCTCCCCTGCGGCCCAGCATTTCTGTTCTACCCCCAAGGCCCTGACGGGGCCTGGCTCTGCAGTGTGCACCGTCACGCTGGGCGCAGGGCTCCATCTTGGGGCGCCACGGCCGCCATCTTGGGGCGCCACGGCCGAAGCGCGGCTGTGGGTCCTCCGGAGCCGGGGGGTGGGCGCATGGCAGAAGCGCAGGGCCCTGTGTCGCCGCCCCGGGGGGCGCAGGCCAGACTGGGGGTTCTGGATCTGACCGCGTAGGATCGAGTGGGCACCCCTCCGGAGTAGTTCAGAGGCCGGGAGGACCAGTACTTCTCTGCAATCTGCCCAGCACCAAGGAGGAAAGGGGAGACACCTTCTCGTTTCATTCAGACGAAAGCGAACCCGGGGGGCGCCGTGGGTGAAGTGGCCGCCACTCCCCGGATGGTCAGTGAAGAGGCAACTCAGAAAGGCTGACGCCGGCCCCACCGCCTCAGCAAGCCCACAGCCGATCCTGTGCGCTGGGCGGGGGGGGGCGGGCGCTGCGGGGCCGGGGCTCGGTCAGCCTCTCTGACGGTCAGACTACTTTCAGAGGTGGCCTGGGTTTGAGCCTCTGCGCTGGAGAAAGGTCTCAGCGCAAAGCCCCCCGCCCAGCCTTCCCCAAACTTTGTAAATAACAGAGACGCTCACTTGAGTAATTAGAGGAAAACTGTCGGCTAAGTGGTTTGAGGAGGTGCAGCTGGAAGCGCTCCGTGTGTCTCTCTGAAGCCGACGTGCAGACAGTCAAAAGCACAAGTTTAATGAGCTAATAAATGTGGAGTGACTCTTCACATCTCACAGTGAGGTCTGGGGCTCGACCATTTCACCCTGACATCAGAGCGGCCCGAGTCTGCTCCAGGACCCTCCTCTCGGCCAGCTCTGTGCCCTGCCCACCGCCAGTGTTTGGTGGAGGAAGGTCACTGTCTTGGTGCTCAAAGATGTTTCCCAGCGTCTGATCTCCAGCCTGCCCTCCTCGGCCGGCCTGCGCTCCCTGAATTACCCTGAGGTGGTGCGGACAGTGCTGGAGGAACCCAGCTGCCCCCAAGAGACGGCGCTGGTCCTGGTGAACACCCGCCACGTCGCCAGCTTCCTTGATGCTCACGTTCAAAGCATTCTAATCTCAGTAATCACCGCTTGTACGGTGCCTTTCTGACCTTTCCACCTCCAGTATCTCCAAACGTCCTTGTCACTGACCCTAAAAGTCTGTGCACAGTGCTACACTTTGGAAAATAAACCGTGTAAACAGTGTCTCGCTGACACCAGCAGGAACCCCCGGGCACTGCTGGTCCCACTGAGGACTCAAAGCCCGAGAAGCCTCGGGGCTCTCTCCCGGCACCCGAGGGTGACGTAATCAGGCCTGGCTGACCCAGAGGCGCTCCTCCCTGTCAGTCAGCTTGTTCTGACGCTAATATTTGGGCTGCACCTCTATATTTTACTCATCCGTGTCAGTCTGGAGACGGGCAGAGGACAAGCCTGCCGCTGACTGGCTTTCATCTCAGTCGCCACTTTTCCCAGAGCCCCGGGACAGCAGTGCTGGCTTCAGGACTAATGTGGCCTTGCTGTCACACACCATGAACTACCCATTAATTAAATAAGCAGACTTCTAACTAGGGCAACTCCAAACACCCCGAAACAGTCCCTTGGTTCGGGTCCTTTCTCCCCAAGACCAGAGTGTATGGAGGGAATTTCTCCCCGGTCAGTCACACCAGAGGACAAACACTGCCCTCCTCACACCCCAGGGTGGGCTCCAGAGTCTGCAGCCACCCCGGTATCCAAGAGTGCTGAGCACTGCCACAGAGCTGAGCCTCCCTGTTTCTGAGGGTGGAAGGAAGCCAGCATGGGAACGCTGTCCCGCCTGTGTTTGCTGAACGGTTAAAAACCTTAAGCTGGGCCCTCCCCGGTGGCACAGCGGGTGAGGACTCAGCATGCAGGCTGGCCGCAGCAGCTTCAGTGCGAGTTCGACCCCTGGCACCAGAGGTGACCACAGGGCGCAGCAGACCTCTCCTGACCCGCCCACTGCTCCCGTCAGCAGTGGACTTCGTCAGTCGGCCTGTTCTGCTCCCCACTGTCTCTGGTGAAGCCTCTCACCGCCCCTGCACCTCTGGCCTGCTCCCCAGGTCTGTATGCATAAATGAATAAATCTTTAAAAGACAACCTTAAGCTAAAGGAACTTGGATAACAACCAGTCACTAAGGAGTCTGCCACGAAAGTTCCTGATCCTACTACCCCGCTGCCCAGCCAACTGGACACAGCCGTCCTCGGGGTAGATTTGCTCCGGGAGGTGGGCCCCGATCTGGCCCACCCCTCTGACCTGAAGCGGGGTGCAGCCAGCTACCTCCCAGGCTCCCCAGAGACACCACCGAGAAGTCCTGCCAGGGGTGACAGCTCCCTTTGGGTGGCCAGCATCACCCCTCCGCCTTGGGCATGTGTAGGGAGGACTCGGAAAAGAGGGGTGGCCTGGGTGACAGCAGTGGGGGTCTGAGTGAGGAACTGCACCGAGACAAAGAGAAAACCTGGGAAGGGAAAGAGCTGCCTGAGGCAGCCGGCGGAAGCCTGAGCTGGAAAGCTGAGCGGGAAGCGGGTGACAAAAGAAGGGCTCCTTGGTAGTGACAGATGAGCTGCGTGTGTGTGCGTGTCTGCGAGTGTGTGTCTCTGTCTGTGTGCATCTGCATGTGTGAGCCTGTGAGTGTGTGTCTGTGTGTGTACCCAAGCGGGGGGTGTATCTTTGTGTCTCTGTGCGTGCGTCTGCCTGTCTGTGTGCATCTGTGTGTTCATCTCTGCAGCAACTGTTTTCCTCTGGGCACGCGAAACTTTCGCTCTCTCTCAGGTCTTCACTCTTCTTAGGCGAGAGAAGCGAAGAACACTGGCTCTGTCCCAGGCCTGGCAGGCGCATGGCTGACACTCACTGAGTCCATGCGCATTCACATGGTTCTGCCCGGGCCGAGGCAGCAGACGGACACCCACAGCCTCCCTGAAGGGGGCTGCGATGGGACGGCCCGGGCGGGACAGCGGCACCTGGGCCCTGCCTGCACCCCTGCCCTTTCCGAGTACGCCCGGGCCAGGCCAGGTTTTCTGGGCGGTGGCCTCGCCTCCAGGGGTAATCAGACCCTTTCTTTTCACTTAAGGCTCCTCTCCACTGGCAGCAGCTTTGGTGACCCCGGTTCTCCCTCTTCTCCTGCTGCAGAGCAGCTGGAGGCTGCCTCCGCGGAGCAGGAAGCCCTGGGACAGTGAGGGCTCTTTCTGTGAAACGGGCACATCCCCCGGGTCTGCTCGTCTTAGCTGGATCTGCGGCAAGTCTGTTTTTCCAGACTGGCGGCCACCGCATACCCCTCTGTGCCGCCATCTCTGATTTGCTATCGCCGAGGAAGGGATGTGCTAAGACTGCAGAAAGGCACACAGCCAAGCTCTGTCTTACTGCGTCAGAGATTCTTCCAGATCCTACCAAAGTACTTGCATTCACAGGGAAGAAAAGGGCCTCGGGACAGTCGAGGCCACCTAGAAGCAAGATGCCAGGCTGGCTGTCCTGCCCGCCAAGGTCATCCCTGAGCACAGGACCCTGCGGCGCTGGGCCTCGGGGGCGCGTGCAGAGCAGAGGTGGTAGCGCGCTGTGGCCTGGCAGGGTCAGCGCCGGCCGCAGGCAGCTTGAAGCCACAGCCCGCTCCCCTGCATCAGGCTCAGGGTCCCCCAGGGGCTCCCCACCAGCCTGGGATGAGTCCCAGTTTACCATGTGGATTAGAGCAGGGTTTCCAAGGGCCCAGGGGTCTCCCTTGCCCCACCAAAGCCGTCTCCCCCTTGAAACAGAGATAAGTGAAGGTAATTTTCTCTACGGATTCTGGGCAGGTTATTGTCCTGTGTCAAACTGGCACTTTCCAGATTAAAAATTCATTCCAAAAGAAGTTCTTATGGTTAAAATTAAACCACAGTCCAAAAGCTATCAGAACCTGGACTTTGGACGGATGCCAAAAGGGACGGTTCTGGGCATCTTCCGGGAAGAGTGAGGCCCATCAGAATGGAGAAATCTTCAACAAATGGTCACATAAAAAAAGAAGTAAAATGCTGGAACCCGTTCAGCCGCCCTGCTTCATTTAGGAGGCAATTTTGACATTGGGAAAGCGAAACCAGCCGTGGGTGGGGTGGATACGCTGCCAGGTCAGCCTGCCAAAGCGCTGCCATCGCGCCTACCTGACGGACGTGCGGCGGTGGACGGCGGTGGCACCGCCGCACCACGTGGCCGCGGGGCTGACCTATGTTTTGGGGAACACTGGCTCATCCCTTGAGATGACTCGCGTTACCGGCCCTGGTTTGTTATTCCACAGTATGATTAAGAAATAATCATCGAGGAAAACACAGATGTTCACATCTGTGTGCAAGAAAAGGCCCGAGGGAGGCGAGAGCCTGCTGGGTCAGGAGGCTGGCAGGGTGGGCGGGCGGCGCGGAGGGCAGGACCCGGCC